GTCATTAGCACCTCTAGTAATATATTTACTGAGAAAAATGGTGATGTGTTCAATACTTATTTTACCCGCTGTATGTTCAGGATGAGATCCTGTACCAGCAGTCAAATACATTTATTTTAACCCAATCTAATAAACTAACTTTACTATCATAAAATAAATCCAAAGTTCATGAAAACATTAATAAGACTAAAAATTACATGGGTAGCTTTGAATGTATTTTGTCAGCATTAAGGTCAGTAATTGATGAAACTTTATGTTTTATCACCAGACAGCTCATTATAATGTGTTCTACTTATAACATAAATGTGCACAACCAGTTTAAAATAATGTTTCTATGCTTAGAAACATTTGTACACAAATCAAATCTAACAATCTAATTTATAAAAAAAATTATTTTTTTGATCATACATGTTTTTATTAAATTTATTTATATTTTTTACTTGTGTCTTTTAGGAGTGGCTTGATTTGCGCTGCAGAGGTGTCCGCAACGCCAACGCGTACATCCTGGTGTACGACATCTGCTGCGTGGAGAGTTTTGAATACGTCAAGATGATCCGGCAGCAGATCGTGGAGAACAGGTAAACCGGTCAGCCCTGCCTGTAAACACAACCTGAGACGAGTTTCCTGCTCCACCCTGACTGCTGATGAWCTAACATTAAACTGACCTGCCACCCTTTAATTTTATTTCTCTTAGAACAGAGCTTTTAGAGTCTCCAACAAAGACTGTGACAGTTCTGTTCTCTCTTTTTCGTTGGGGATATCTTTTCATTTAGCACATTCCTCCTTGCAATCCTGACTGTTTTATTATGACATTTGATATACCACTGCGGTTCGAGTGCTGTCTGAGATGTCACTAGTGATTTAGGGAATCTCTGGGGGTCTATTATTGCCTTTATTGGACAGAAGCAAAAAAAAAAAAAAAAAGAAAGAAAATCACAAGGGTTGAGAATCAAAGTGAAGGACTAAAACCAGAAAAAGACCACAGAGAAATCTTCTCCATCCTCCTCAGCCCCGGCCAACCTGAATATATTTACATATAGAAAGGTAGATTTGGAAGCTTCATTTGTTTGCTGTGTTGTACATGACCACACGGCCTTTTCCACAGTTCATCACCCCTTTCTTGGAGCTCTCTGTTTAYGGCCCAAGACAGAAACCTCATTATCACCGGCAGGTGGGTTGGATGCAAGAGGAATCCAAAACAGGACTAATAAATAATCACCGGGTCTGATGTCAGAATAAAAAGAGACATGAAATCACAAATAATAGAGGGTTCTGACTGTTGTTGACACCAGGACGGGATGAAAATGTTGAGTTGAAATGATCTGGTTCTGCAAACTGTAATTTTCCCCCAGCCTATTTTTAAAGTTTTTCCAGCACCGAGCCGTTTCTTTTGAGCTTTTGAGATTTTGACAGTGTTCYGTACCGTCTCCACCAAGTTTTCATGCACAGATTCTCCCTCCTGCTAAAAATATTCAAGATTTTTCAAGGACGTGAAGGTGAAGAGAAGTGGGGGGGATGTGGATTTTAACTTCCCCTCAGAGCTTGAAACAGTTTTTTTCCCAACACTCTGTGAAATATGCAAATCCTTATCAGACAATGACACTAACCTTTAATTTTTAACAAAAGGAGAAAAGTTAAATTGATTAAGCTGCAGCTTTAATGGTTTTAAATGTCTGTCCTGCCTTCGCTGTCACTTAGTCTGAGATTCATAATCCTGTTTAACACCTCTCAGTGAATTCTGCTTCGCTTTAAGGATTACTTTAATAATCCGTATACTTCAGTTAGTTTTCATTAGGACAACGCTTCAGACTGAGGTCACAGGTTACCGTACCCCACTGTAAATCAGACRCTATCGGAAAACGTTGCACTTGGTTGTACAGAGGATGCTTTAGTYTGACTCAGATGTGCATAAAAACATGTCTCGAGAGGCGAACTCACACCTGCTTCTCGCTCGGCGTACGTTTTCATGTCTAATATCGCTGCAAGCCACCTTCTGCAGTGTGGAAGGCCTCCTTGAGCCTGTGAGCTCTTGCCCACACACTCCACTGAAGACACACACATAATACACAACAAATGACTAACACCGAGACGATAGACGCTCTTTTAAACATTTATTTATTTATTTATTTTTGTCCCTGCAGGGAAGGCAGCAGCAGCGAGGTGCCAATCCTCGTGGTGGGCAACAAGCGAGACCTGCAGCGGCAGCGCTTCATGCCCCGCAGGGCGGTGTCGGTCCTGGTGAAGAAGACCTGGAAATGCGGTTACGTGGAGTGCTCTGCCAARTTTAACTGGCACGTGGTCCTGCTCTTTAAGGAGCTGCTGGGCATCGCTGTGGCACGGGGCATGCGCCAGAACCACACCTCCATCCGCCTGCAGGGGGCTTTACAGAGGAACCGCTGCACTGTCATGTGACCCCCACCCCCAACTCCCAGAACTCTCTCCACCCAACACTCTCTGCTGGGTGGAGCAGCACTGGAGAAAAGGACTTTTATCATAATGGCTGGAAAAAAAAAATACCCTGTGGCCTCCTGCTTAACTGAGCTGATTTTTCATAATGAGGTTTATTTGACTCTTGCGCTGTAAAAGACACACACACACACACACACACACACACACACACACACACACACACAC